ATGATTGAAGTGATGTTCGCCGTAAGGAAAGACAAATTCAAAGACCACCCTTCAGTTCTACCGGAGCTTGACCTCGTCGAGGAGGCTGATCAGTTTACGCATCCACTTGAGCTGCTGGATGATTACGATGCAGAAGATAAACTGAACGTGTTTCAGTTTGATCCTAATTTCCAAGAAAATGAAGCCAAGTACGAGGTCATTAAGAGAGGCATCATCGGCAATGGCAGCTCTGACGAGTCTGGCGAGTCGGGTTCCGATTCTGATGATGAAGACTCTGACGACGATGACGATGACGAGGCGGGAGTTGACCCTGGACCTACTGGCACTACTAATTCCACAGTCATTATCGACAACACCGAGACGAACATGATCGCTTTTCGAAAGACCGTTTACTTGACAATTCAGTCATCGCTTGACTTTGAAGAGTGTGCCCACAAACTGCTCAAACTGAATGTCAACGAAGCACAAGTTCCTGAACTGTGTAACATGATCGTTGACTGTTGCGCCCAGCAGCGAACTTACATCAAGTTCTTTGGTCTTCTTGCACAGCGATTTTGCCAACTGAACAACGAGTACGTGGTCCCCTTTGAGGACATTTTTCGTAATGCTTACGACACGATTCATCGTTTTGAGACCTGCAAACTTCGAAATGTTGCCAAGCTGTTTGCGCACATGCTGCACACTGACGCCATTCCTTGGACTGTGCTCTCTCACATCAGACTCAATGAAAACGATACAACCAGTTCCAGTCGCGTCTTTATCAAAATTCTCTTTCAGCAGTTGGCAGAATCTTTGGGACTTGTGAAACTGAATGGACGCATCAAGGATCCTACATTGCAGAATGCTTTTGAAGGGCTGTTTCCTCGTGACGAACCACAGAATACCCGATTTGCGATCAACTTCTTTACATCAATCGGTTTAGGTGGACTGACCGATGATTTGCGTGAACACTTGAAAACTGCTGCTACCAAACAACCACCAACTCTTGGCTTAGAGAGTTTGGCGAAAAAGGTGGTTAAAAAGGAGGAGAAATCATCATCGTCATCATCTAGTTCGGAAAGCTCATCGTCCTCTTCCTCCTCCTCATCATCAGACTCTTCGTCGTCTTCAGAGGACAGTTCATCAGAAGACTCCGATGACAGACGAAAACACAAACGCAAACAAAGTAAACACAAGTCGTCGCATTGTTCTTCTCGGCATCACTCTCGAAAGCACTCAGAAAGTCCTGCACCTCAAAGTCGAGACAAAAAACGTCGACGCCACTAATTTTTTGAGCNCTCATCATCAGACTCTTCGTCGTCTTCAGAGGACAGTTCATCAGAAGACTCCGATGACAGACGAAAACACAAACGCAAACAAAGTAAACACAAGTCGTCGCATTGTTCTTCTCGGCATCACTCTCGAAAGCACTCAGAAAGTCCTGCACCTCAAAGTCGAGACAAAAAACGTCGACGCCACTAATTTTTTGAGCAAAAAATGCATTGACTAATGTAAATATTTTATTTTTTACTATTAACATCTCAAGTAAAAAGTAGAAACACTTTTCACCACTTCATTTCAGAAAGCACACTCCTTGACATTGTTTACAAGTTTTGCTTAACAAAAATAAACTCAAACTCATTAAACGCCTTTTCGGGGATGATCAGGTCTCATTTGGAGGCCATCAAATCGCCTGTCGGGGGAAAATGGAAAAGATACCATTGGAGATTTAATGTTGTTGTACCGCATCAAAACACCATACCTTCGTCTCCAGACGTGCTTAGCCGTATATGTGATTGCTTGCACCTCTTCCATGCTCTTCAGCGTAGTGGGTCCCTTGTAGTAAATGTTCTCTCCCTTGGCAATGTTTTCAGCTTTCAGTACAGATCGGTCTTCAGCTTCAACGTATGGCTAAAGAATGGACAAAGAAGTGATCAAGAAGTAAAGCTGAAAGCTGAAGCATTTTCTACATACCAGCGAGTGTTCATAAGGAAACTGCTTTTGAGGATGCCAGCAAACGATAGTTTGCCCATCATCAGTGACAGTAATTCTAGATGAATAAGAAGAATCATCATCAGACAAAATGAAATGAAGAAATAAAGGAAGTCAAATTACCTTGCTTCACAGTCTTGTTTTGGTGGTTTTGATGATGCAAAACATCTCATCNAGGATGCCAGCAAACGATAGTTTGCCCATCATCAGTGACAGTAATTCTAGGTGAATAAGAAGAATCTTCATCAGACAAAATGAAATGAAGAAATAAAGGAAGTCAAATTACTTTGCTTCACAATCTTGTTTTGGTGGTTTTGATGATGCAAAACATCTCATCGGCGTCATCGGCGTCTGACTTTGAAGACGCACCATTACCGTTGAAATGACTCGATTCATCTCTAAATGAGATCTTAAGGTGAGTTTATTGAGATTGGGAGCAGTAGTTTATAAACTTTTACAAATGAAAATGGGAGCAGAGAATTACAAGTTGTGATACTATCAAAGGCAGCTGAAACGTAAACAGAAAAGCCAAGGTAAAAAATCCGAACACATGGCTAGTGGAGAAGGACATCTGGTGAGCATCGTAATAACCAGACATTTTTGGTTTTAGGGAAAATGAATCAACTTCCCATGTCATGAAGAGTTCCGTCGTTTTCGTAGCGGTCCAGGATTGAATTCATCGTTGAGATCATCTTTAGAACTTGTAAATGAGGTATCGCTTCCTGACTGGGAACAAGCTTTCAGCTCCATAAACTTCTCGATCATCGTCGCAAATTCATCGGCGTCAAGCAAATCAAGCAATGTCAGAGTATTTTTCAAGTAGATAGAGAACGTCTCTTTACGTAGTTCTTGCAGCTGGGCACAGTTCTGCTTGGTCTTGTGAATATCTCTTTTCAAGTTTTCGCACTTGTCGAGAAAGCTTTCACAATTGTCCCTTAACTGCATGTCACCATCTTGACTGAACATCTCTTGGTAGGCATTGTACGCCTCGAAGAGGATCATTTGATTGCGAATGTTATGGTTTATGCGTTTGTCAATTTGATCCAGAAACTCGTAGAACCAGGTGATTATTTGAGCAAGCTCCATGATGAAACTTTCAGAATTTGAAGACAAATTAGAAAATATTACTGATGACATGTTAATCTGTAAGAAAAATTTGCCATTTTTAATAACGGAAACGATAACACCTTTAGAATGAATCATTTTTTTCTGGAAATGAAAACCACTAGAAGCCCATGAACTTCAGCATTACCTGACGATGAATTGTAGTGGAAAATGGTAGTCTTTTTCTTTCCACAGATGATCGATTGATTGCAAACAATTGACCATCAATGAAAAGGGACGACCAGGGTCGCGCAGAAGGGGTCAGCCGGAAAAACCAGAATTTGTCCAAGTGAGTAAACAAAACGGTTTTCTTTCTTCCTCGTGCCTCGTTTTTGCCTGTGATTCACTGATAACTCAGCAAAGAGCGCAAAAGCAGTGGCAGCGGCGGCGACGGCATCAACAGCAGCAGCAGCAGAATCGGTGACAACGGCTGCAGTGCTAACAAAAAAGTAGCAGAAACTGTTATCAGAAAGTGTTCATCGGGGAGAGACAACAGCTCATCTGTAATACACGATGACTAGCGGCTGATTGGCAATCAGCGGATGATGATGATTAGACAATGATGACTGTACTGCTTGTCGATGACGCTCACTCAATGCACGGCAGTGATGGTGATGGCGACGGTGGTGCTAATGGTGGTGTTTGCTTTGATTAGAGCGGTGTTGTGGTAAACTGGTGAGCCTATGTCTCTTTTCAGTGTACTCAAGGCGGTGATCATAGACTTCAGTAGTGATGATCAGTGGCAGCTTCCTCGTCAGGGCGATACTTTTTATATCCTCTCGAGGTATGCCAAGGAACGCAGCAGTGGGTATGCTGCCTGCTACCGAGGATGGTTTGCTGCTGCTATTGGATTATACTAAAGATTAATTAGTTGCAAAACACTGNTTTGATTAGAGCGGTGTTGTGGTAAACTGGTGAGCCTATGTCTCTTTTCAGTGTACTCAAGGCGGTGATCATAGACTTCAGTAGTGATGATCAGTGGCAGCTTCCTCGTCAGGGCGATACTTTTTATATCCTCNGATGACGCTCACTCAACGCACGGCAGTGATGGTGATGGTGACGGTGGTGCTAATGGTGGTGTTTGCTTTGATTAGAGCGGTGTTGTAGTAAACTGGTGAGCCTATGTCTCTTTTCAGTGTACTCAAGGCGGTGATCATAGACTTCAGTAGTGATGATCAGTGGCAGCTTCCTCGTCAGGGCGATACTTTTTATATCCTCTCGAGGTATGCCAAGGAACGCAGCAGTGGGTATGCTGCCTGCTACCGAGAATGGTTTGCTGCTGCTATTGGACTGTGCTAAAGATTAATTAGTTGCAAAACACTTATTTGAAAATGCAAATAAACGTAGTGATTCTTCTTTTTCTGTGCAATCAGCTTCTCTTCACCACTGCTAGCTTTGCTCGCGTGAAAGTTCCTGAATCGGCTAAACAGCCCAATGTGCTAATCATTTTAGCCGATGATCTCGGTATGGTCGTCATTTTCTTGTACTTTGATTTTGTAAGCCTTTGCTAACACTTTACTTTCCATCTTTTTGACAGGCTGGGGCGATTTGAGCTTTCATGGGAGTCATCAAATTCCCACCCCGNGTAGTGATTCTTCTTTTTCTGTGCAATCAGCTTCTCTTCACCACTGCTAGCTTTGCTCGCGTGAAAGTTCCTGAATCGGCTAAACAGCCCAATGTGCTAATCATTTTAGCCGATGATCTCGGTATGGTCGTTTTTTGTACTTTAAGTTAGAGTATTTTTACTTTTCATCTTTTTGACAGGTTGGGGCGATTTGAGTTTTCATGGGAGTCATCAAATTCCCACCCCAAATATTGACCTTTTGGCGAGCAGTGGTGTCATTCTCAACAACTACTACGTGTCGCCGATATGCTCTCCCTCTCGAAGTGCCCTCCTCACCGGTTACTACCCCATTCACACTGGAATGCAGGAGGGCGTCATTGCCGCCTCCACGCCCTACGGACTGCCGCTCCACTTTAGCACCATAGCTCAGCGCTTCAAGGAGATCGGCTATGCAACACATCTGTCCGGAAAGTGGCACCAGGGAATGTTTGCCTGGAACTACCTGCCAACTAGACGAGGCTTCGACTCTTACCTGGGCTACCTCACCGGACACTCCGACTACTACAATCGAACGGGAGGTGATGTTGCACATGGCTATGACTTTCGCGAGAATGAAAAGCGGGCCAATTTGAGCAAGTACGAAGGCAAGTACTCGACTGACCTGTACGCAGATCGGGTGGTTTCGCTGATTGAGGAGCACGCCGCCGCCAATGGTTCTGCCAAACCCTTTCTTATCTACTTTGCCGAGCAGTCAGTCCACGGTGGCACCTTTGAGGCGGTGCAGCCGCCAAACAGATACCGAGACAAGTTTACCTGGATCAAGGATCGCAAGCGGCGCAACTTTGCAGGCATGGTCGCAGCACTGGACGAGTCCATTGGCAAGGTCTTCAGGGCGCTCAACGAGACCGGTCAGCTAGACAATACGATCATCTTCTTCAGCAATGATAATGGCGGAGCCAGTGGAAACGGTCGTGGGAGCTTTATTGACCACAGCATCGGCTCGAATTATCCACTCAAAGTAAGAGTAGACGAACCATTGTGCACTTTAGCTAACTTGAAGATTTTTATTTAAGGGCGCCAAATACACTTTGTGGGAAGGAGGAGTAAGGTTAATTTTTTCTGCTTTTAAGATTTGCCATTACTAACAACTTTTATTACTATACCCAACAGAGGAACGTCCTTCATTTGGACGAGTCAACTGAAACGACCGTACATTAGCAAGCATTTGGTGCACCTGGTCGATGTGCTGCCCACTCTGTTTGCCGCTGCCGGCGGTGACGTCTCTCACCTCGGTCCCATTGATGGCATGAACCTGTGGCCGGCGCTGATGAACCAGAGCACCGAACCGGAGCAACATCATCTTCATCCAGTTCGTGACTACCTTCTGCACAACATTGATCACACGCAAAAGTCATGGGCTATTCGCTATCAGAACTACAAGCTGACCAGTGGCACCTGGNTCATCCAGTCCGTGACTACCTTCTGCACAACATTGATCACACGCAAAAGTCATGGGCGATTCGCTATCAGAACTACAAGCTGACCAGTGGCACCTGGAATCAGGGCCACTGGGACGTCTGGTGGTCGGCGCCTGGTCAGTTGAATGAATCGACGACCATCTGCTACGAGTGCAGCGACGTCTACAAGGTTCTCAAGCACCGAAATGCCGCCCCCGTCCACCCGGTCACTGTGAAGGTGGACTGTAGACGAGAGCAGCAGTCAATGACGCCCTGTAATGCAGCTGGCCAGAAAAACGACCGGGACTTTTGCCTCTTCGATCTGGAGGCGGACCCCTGTGAGCTGTCGAATATTGCCGACAAGAATCCAGCAGTGGTGAAGAAGCTCTTTGCCTTGTATGCGAGTTACAATGTGACCTACGCTAAGCCGGAGAACAAGCCGCTTGATGTGATGGCCAATCCAAAGTACCACGGCGGCTGGTGGACACCGTGGAAGTGAGTGTTTCAAGTAAATAAGACAACACAGGTAATTTCACAGACTAATCAAGATTTGACTTTTTTGTGCGGCAAATTCGAGCAGTAAAGATGCTTTGTCTGTCAGTAGATGGTGCAGTGTGACTGCCAGTGGGAGAGTTATTTCAAGTGCTCTGCCACCGCCATCGGCTCCAATCTCTGCCGTTTTCACCCCTTTTACTACTACTACTTCTGCAGACTGTCAATCATCGCCCACTGCTATTCAGTGGCTTCTACCACACACTGCCAATTACCAACCTACTTTGACGATTACTGACCGCATTCTGTTTTGCATAATCGCAAGTTTGGCTAGTTTTCAGTTTCACTGTTGATCACTGAGAAGTGAAGCCTTCATTTGCATTTTTTCTGGGCTGGTTTACTTGAGTTTCTGTTTTGTTTCTCGTTTGCTGATGAAGCTCACGTAATGTGCTTGTGTGGTAGACGTGATTGGTGGCAGTGTGTAAACGGAAGTGATCGAGCATTTCCAGAAATGGTGAATGGCAAAAGTTTTCAAGTTGAGCGCTGGTGGAGATAGGATTTTACTTTAAAGTTTCATGTGGTCTTCTAAGTATTTTTCTTTTTTAATTATTTTCTAACGGAAGTTGCCGTTGTGTTTAGTTAAAAGTTTTAAAAACAATTCAATTTTATTCTTAATCACTCTGTATTCTGGCAACTGTAATTACTCTTCGTTAATTAATGGCAGTACCCTGAATGAGACTTTTACTTTTTGCAACCTCTAATTAGCGTTTAAAATGACACAACTAACAGTCAGTGTGAACTGAAGTGGAATTTTACTCTGAAATGAAAACGGAATATGTTCCCGAGTTTATGCTCAGTGACAACAGTATATTTACGGAAGCAAAAGGCTGCACAGTTCAGGGCACCCTCCAAAGAAGGGTAACTGGCAAACCGGCAGCAAATGATGATGAATGACCAGTAAAGTATTTGACGATGGAAAGAGTGCACCTATACGGTGAAAGAGAAGGTGCTCTTTGTCTGTTTGTTTGTTTGCTCGTTTGCAGTTTCAAGTGCACACTCATCAATAAATCAACTGTCTGCTTGGTCAATGTTCTCATGTGCACCCTCAACTTGAACTGCTTCTCAGTTGTTCTCAGATGGTCATGTAATAAATGAGTGTATGTCAATTTGAGAAAAAGTACATATGCCATTCCGGTGGCAGAATGTTACCTTCAAAATTGAGAACAGGGTGAGTTCATCCTTTTTTTGTACAGTAAAATCATTTTGTTAAACTTAAAATGATTTTTACTTTGTCCTTTTCTGTTAGATCTCTAATGCCTATTTTCCTTTCACGACAACGACTTCGAGGTAATTCTGAGCTTGCGCTGGATAGCGGACGGCGACTTCTTCTGCTCTACATCTTCCGATGTGAACGAACCTGTGCTCTCATTTTCTTTTTTAGTGTTCTTGTGAGATGTGCAATGCATTCTCTCGTCTGCTTTGCTTCATTTGTAGAATTCTGCTGCTCGGTTTTCTCTTCTCATCCACTCTGCTGAAGGCACTTTGCATCGCATTGTTTGTCTTTTGTCTGCCCGTGTTCTGAATTTTGAAGTTTTGAATTCCGGGTTGGCATGTAATGCGATGGCTCTTCCTTGGCTCATTGTGCCCCTTTTTCAGTAGAAAAAGAAAAAGAAGAAGAAGTGTGGAGCAACGGACTGATGAGGTAATGATGAAGCTCAATGACGATAGAATAGTCAAAGTTAACGTAGTTGGGCACGAGACAAATGCGTGGTGGTGCAGTAGTCTGGCAAACAAGGGCGAATCTTTGTCTGTTTGCACGGCGTGCTCAAACCACAGTCTCAATCGAATGAATCTGATCCCGTTTAGGTGGCAGAGGAAAAGCGGTAGACATTCTCTTTCTCTCTTTCACCACACTTCCAAATGTTTGATTTCATGTACGACTGTTCTTGATTCCCCCCATCATGTTGACGCAATATACCAATGTTTGCGATCTATAACTGATCGCCTTTGCAAAAACATTGAACAATCGCCGTAGTTTCAGTTGCACACGTTGTTCGCTCTTGTCTTTTTCAAAAACTCGCTCGTTCATAGTGTAATCAGAGAGGCAGTGGCCAGAAAGAGAAAGAGTTCAAAGTATTCTGTCTGCTCGTGGTCGACTTGATTGCTTTCTTCTTTTTTTCTTGTATTTTTTTCTTATTTTTTTGCAGTGCAGAGAAGAAGAAGTCAGCTAGTGCTGCAAGTGAAGAAGTGAACACAGGCGAAGAAAAAGAAAGCCTGTCCGTCACACCGGCGACATGAGAGGCGCGTACGGAAGTGTGAGTGAGTGCAGCAACTCAACGACGAAGTTTGCTGGAGATCACATTGAAAGAGAGAAGACGCGTTGTGCTTTGTTACTTTGTAGTTCAGCAGAGTCTGTGTGTCTGTGGTTTGACGATTGCCGAGGTTGCTGGCCGAATGATGGCTGTGCTGGTGATATGTTTCACTTTGTAATTATGAACATCTCACTTCAGCTAAAGCTGATGATGAAGAGCTTTCTGTTTGTGCCAGAGAATTCTGGTTAATTTACTCTAGTTTATTCTAGTACTAAATAGATTCTCACTGTGCCACCAATTATCAGTTTTAGACTATAGCATCTGATTGTATTCTTCACCTTCCTTGCTCAATGACTGTTTATTCGCTTTTCTTGATCATGTTCACCAGAAACAAATAAGGGAGCCTTTCTGTGTTGTGTCATTAGCGGTGGCAGTAGCCAACTTAAGTGGGCGCTTTATGAACGATGCAATCATAATTTCCTCCGAGTTTGGATTTTTGTTTCTTCTTTTTTTTAGCAGTCGGCAGACTCGGGCAAATGAGTGAAACTGCCGAATACTGTTTTGTCTGCTTCGGTAAGCAGCATCAGCAGCAGCTGCCGCAGTCGCCCGAAAATGTATCCATTGGTGTGATGTCTAATGGTGTCTATTTTACTGCTGCCTATTTGCCTGCCTACGTTTGGCCTTAGTGTGCAGAGAACATGGCTGCCAACTGCGCTAACCCGATTGAGCTGCTGGCCCACTGAGCGTCAGTCGTACAGTAGTGTCAGAGCAGGCAGCACTACAGTGCAGGAACACATGTGCTCCTTTAAGCGGAGTTCACGCACTGGCTGCTGCTGCTGTTGCTGCGGCTGCCGAAATGCCGTCGTCGAGGCCAATGAACTCTCTCTCTCTCTCTCTCTCTCTCTCTCTCTCTCTCTCTCTCTCTCTCTCTCCCTCTCTGCTGGCGCCCAGTGGAGTCTGTGACGGCGTCACTGTGCGATCTGCGGATCGTTGAGTTTTCTATGTCATCGGAACGAGAGCGAAAGTGGCTGCAGTGGCTGCTGCTGTTGCTGGTATTAGTAGTGCTGTCGTACTGCCGGTGCTGCCTGCATTCACCACTTTCTCGCTGTGTGCCAGTGCAGACCAGAGCTTTTCTGGTGATAGCCAATTTGCCAGAGGATGCGCAGCGGAAGAAAAGTAGGCGAAGGATAGCGATGGCGATACAGGACGAGGGATGGTGGGCAATAGAGCGAAAGGGAGAGGGAGAGAGAGAGAGAGGCCATGCAGAGAGGAAGATTTGTGGAACGATTATCTAGGGGATTTTGAGGCATTGTACTGACCTAAAGTCAGTGGGGAATCGTCCATTCACTGGAAGTGCTGATGGAGGTGCTATTTAATTGACAGTTCCACTGAACGGTTCATTATTGGCTTGCAACTGAAAGTATTCACCATTTAGCATCTGGTCTGCCACCACTGGCGTCGTTTGCGTCCTCAGTGACCATCCAAACACCATCACCACCACCAACTCAGCCAACTCCTTTCGGTGAATGAGCGTGTCAGCAGCAACAGCAGCAGCATATACTCTGACTGTGTACAGACAGACAGTCGACTCTCACTGTTGCACTCTTTCCCGGTCACTGCGGCCGTCTCTTTGATCTGCTGCTGCTGCCGCTGAAGAACAGACGAAGGGAAACGAAGTTGCAAGTGGTCGTCGGCGTCTGTAATGGTGGTGGTGGTCCAGAGAGCCGAACAGCAGTGCAAACGAGAAGACAGTGTAGTGTGCAGAGAGCTGAACAGCAACGGCAGTGGCCGCCACAAGTCAGTTGTGCTGG